GTAATTAAAATTTTAATGATAAAATATTAAACTCATAGCTACAAGAATTTTTGTTACAATTTTATTTATTTATAATATTTTACTTTATATGATGCATTTTATAAAATATCTTGTTTAGTTAGTGACCACTATCTTTCGTCATTAATCATTCAAAATTAGTGATCTCTAATTTTTTTGTTACTAAAACTTTCAACTTAGTGACTATCATTTTTTGTCACCATCATTCCTAAATAACACCAACTAATTTGTCACCATTATTTTGGTCACTAATCAWTTCAAATTTGTGACTACTTATTTCTTTGTCACTAAAGCTTCTAACTTAGTGACCACTATTTTTTGTTACTAACATTTGTAAGTAAAACCAACTAGTTAATGACCACTATTTTTTGTCACTTAAACTTCCATATTTAGTGACCATTATTTTTCGTCACTAACATTCCTGAGTAACACTAACTAGTTAGTGACCAATATTTTAGTCACTAATCATTTCAAATTTGTGACTATTTTGTATTTTGTCACTAAAATTTTCAACTTACCATTCAACTCAGTGACCATTATTTTGCTCACTAAACGCATGAATTTATAACATCAAGGACGAAAAATATGGTCGTCACAAATTTAGTCATTAAAATAGATTGATATGAAAAATATGGGCCAAGTCTAGGACATTTCTTGAAATTCAAAGGTTCTTTGACATAACATTATGGAAGCTTTGGGATCATGGACATAAAATTAGGAGGGCCAATCTAGGATCTACAGTTAAGATGGACGTAAATGGTGGTTGATTTAGATGCTAGAAAATGCAGTTGTAGACGGTGGGATATATCAGGCATTCCTTGTTGCATTTCATAGCTGCCACCCACTTTATCAATAAGGATCCAGATGATTATGTTAGTAAATGGTTTACTAAGGATCTCTTCACTAGGGTAGTTTTAGTTTTATTGGTAGAAATAGGGTTGTTTGTGTGGGACCCACTAATTTTAAAAAATCTGATTTTGTAAATTTACAATTTTTACCCTCCAACTTACATTTCCATTTTTATTTATATCCTCTATTTTGTAAAATTTTATATTTAACCCTTATTATATATTATGTATTAATTTATTTAATTAAAA